TCTGAAATAAGAAAGTATGATAATGAATTTGACCACAAGATTGATTACGGTGAAGGTGTTGAAAGCTGCGAAGCCTATGGTGTGGATTATGATTATGAGGATTGACATGAGATATGAAGAGCTTGGCTTTATGTTAAAATTTTAAAATTTATTATTTGATGTTACATTAGTTGTAGGGGCTCAATACTCCAGAACTATTTTATCTTAATATATTGTTATGCTTTGTTTACCAAAAAAGAAAACAAGGTGTGCAAAACCTCTCTAATAAATAATATCAAAATTTTCTTTTATTTCTTTCTCAAGCTATGTAAGGACACAAGTTCATAGCATATTCATCGTCATGTGATGAATGTGTCAGAAAAGCAAAAATTATAGAAAAATAAAATATATTTTTACAAAATTTTCTCAGCATCCGTTATTTGAATGATGCTTTAAAATTATAGGTTTATTATGGATTGAATGAATTATTAGGAATTACAGGTGTATTGTTTTCCTGCTTTGGCGACCAATTTATTAGTCGCGACAAATAAATTATTTTTTTTTGAAAAAAATGACAATTGCCGACCAAGAGTTTTGGTCGCAAAAAATACATCTATTGCCGACCAAAAATTGTTGGTCGTGGAAACTCACTTTTGCCGACTAACAGTTTTGGTCGCGAAAAGTAACAATTGGCGACCAAACTAATTTCGGTCGTAGAATGTCACAATTGGCGACCAAAAAATTTGGTCGCGAAATGTCACAATTGGCGACCAAACTTTTTGGTCGCGAAATGTGTCAATTGGCGGACTAAGAAATTTGGTCGGCAAAAGGCGACTTTTCGCAACCAAAGTGTTTTAGCGACAAAATGAATTAGTCGCGGTAATTAAATATTTAGTGACTAAAAATTTAGTCGGAAAATCCAACTTTTGCCGACCAACGAAAATTTTGGTCGCGAATTACTTTTGCCGACCCTCAATTGGCGACCAAACTAGCGACCAAAAAAATTGGTCGCGAATAACTTTTTCTGACCAAAAATAGACTCTTAGCGACCAATTTTTTTGTTGCTAAAAATGTTAATTATTGTAGTGAGGGTTGCTGCAAAATACGCACTTAAAAAATTTAACTTAGACCAAAGCAAAAATTAGTTACTTTGCAAAGAAATCCAATCAATTCATATGTATAAATATGTGAGTTTGAAAGGTCATATAAAGTAGAAGGGAAATTACTCTTATATATATGTTCAAATGTTTAAACATTAATTAAGTGTTAAAAAAATAAATAAATCAAATAATTCGAAAGTATGAAGTATGTAATAGTCACATTTTCTTTTCTTTTTTTGAGTTTCTTAATAGTTTACTTTATTTATTTTTATTTTGTGCCAAAATAATTTTATTTTTCACTTACGTTTAGCATAGAAGGATCTAAAAAAATAAAAAATAAAAAATAAAAAGTACCAAAATAAATAAATAAATAAACAACTATCACTACAAAAAAATTGATTTTTTGCGACGGTAAAATACCGTCGCTAATACTCCTCATGCCGTCGCTAATACTTTTTGCGACGGCAAAATGACTTTTTGCGACGGCAAGAGGGGGGTCGCAACTGCAAGGGTTGCAAAAGAGTTTTTGCGATGGTAAGTGCCGTCGCTAATGTTTTGCGACGGCATTTTTTGTCTTTTTGCGACGGTATCATACAGTCGCTAATAACGTTTGAAATTTCTTGACTTTTTTGCGACGGCCCTATTTTACCGTCGCTAAAAATGTTATTTGAGACGGCCGACCGTCGATTTTTCCGATTCTTTCAAAATAGGCCGGTTTTTCACTATGACTGGTTCAGTGGGTGTATCCGGACCGGAACCCCGATCGGTCGACAGTTCAACCAACCGGTCCGGTCTAATTTTTAAAACCATGTACTGAGGTGCTAGAGTGAGATTTTTAATTCAAGTCTATTGAGAGATATTGACATGTATTGTAACCTAATTATTAACATACTAATTGTTGTGTTTGTTTTGAGTTTTTTGAATTAAATTTTTTGAAAATTGAATTTTTTTTTAATGAATATTTTTAAAATTTTAAGTATTTTTTTTACTTTTTTATATGTAATTTATTTAGATGTATCTAAAAAGTGAACAATTTGAGAAAAATATTTTAAAAAATTAATAAATACATAAAAATATGAAAAGTATATTGAATTCTCATATATTTTTTTTGTATTTTTGGTATTTAGTGAATTTTTAAAAGATTATTTTCACAAAAATTATACATTTTATGTGTATTTATATTAGGTGTGTCTAAAAATTAAAAAAAATTATTTAAAATATCAAAAAAATTCAATAAAAAAAAACACGTAAAATAAAAAAATAAAATTTTTTAAAAAGTATTTTTGCAAACCAAAAACAAACAAAGTGAATATTATTTTTATTTTTATTTTTTTTGAAAAACATTGAGCTCCCCACCCCACCCTTTCCGATTCCAGTTGCAGGCCATCTTTCAAGTACCTTTCCAGTGGCCACGATCAAGCCTCACCCCTACATTTCTCGACTCTCCCTTTACCCTTTCATAACCCCTTTTGCCCACTCCTAATTCCCTTCTCCAATGTCATTCAAATAATACTACAAGTTTTAAATTTTCTATCAATTAAATGATTAAATATTTTACATGAATATAGAATTTATAAAATTGTAAACTCTACACTCATATAAGACATTTAATCATTTATTTGATAAAAAATTTAATATCTCTAATATTACTCACTGCCATCCTCACTCGCAATTGGGCGTCATGCTAGTGTGAGTGGAGACTAGGTTGTGGCTGTGGTGATGGAAAAAAAAGGATTGAGCCAAGTAAAAGAGACACAGTTGAATTGTCCTAAAATGTTGCAACAGGAATAAGGTAATGTGGGATATATCAAGCTAATTTATTTCAAATTTTAAATTCCTGTACATATCTAGTTAAAGACATAAATTTTAATATTTACCAACTAATTTTACCAATTAAAAAAAACAGGTTAAGTTTATCTCAAATTCAAATATAAACTTTCAAACTTGAGAGAACTTGAAGGACATGCGGGGCTCACTATGGGTTCTATTTCAATTATCTCAATAATTCATTTTGTAAGATCTATTATTATTATTTTTTTTGTATATCATTCATGAAAAAAATAAGTTAAGCCGACAATCATAATTTATCTTATTTTATTATATGGACTTTAAAAAAAATAAACAAACTACATTTTTTTTTTTTTTTGCTGATAGACACGATAAAATGACAACATTACAATTATTGAATCGATCTAATTTATTTTATAAATAATATACACAAAAAATTGTACAAAATTTGGGGGATGCACCAATAAATCCCAAATTAATAACTTATACACTGTTTAGTCCTAAAAGTTTTCTTATAGACTGAAAGGTCCCATCACAATGTTTCAAACATCAGATTAATGTTTCGAACATTAGATTTCGAACATCAGATTAATGTTTCAAACATTAGATTGATGTGCAAATGGGACTAAATGGAGCATAAGAAAACTTTTAGGACTAAATGGTTCAACTTTTCAGGAACTAGGACTTATGGGTAAATTTTCCAATAAATAATTTAGATTATCAAAATAGAATCTTCTCAAATTCTCTCAACCTAACTCTAAAAAAAGAAATAGGCATTGATTTTTGCTATTGATAATAAAAGAGAATCGCTATTCCTAATTCATTTTGTTCTAAGGGTCCGTTTGGGAAGATGGTTTGTGGCTAAAATAGTCACAACAAACAAAACATCACAACCAATCCATAATTATTACACTATTCTCTCACAAAAAAAGTCAAAAAATCTAAAAAACCAAAAAGTCCTTCCCAAATCAAGTTTTTTAACCCAGACTAAAATAGCCAAAAAAGCCAAAAAGTCAACCCACTTCTAAATATATTTACTTTTTTTATCCTTATTATATATATTTACAGTAATACATTTTCATACAAAACATATTTCTTAAAAAAAACTAAAATTTCAAAAATATTAATATAATTATATATAATAAAAATAAATAAATAAATGTATTTAAAATAACAATAGTGATTGGTAGCTCGAAAGACCCTTCCCTGAATCCCCCCACAATCAAAACGACGTCGTTTTCGTCGTTTTGAATTTTTTTTTTTTTCAGAAGAAGAAAGAAGAAGAACTGGAGGGGACCAACAAAATCAGGCTGGAAGCGGAGGCGGGAGACGAGAGCGGGGGCGGAGGCAGAGGCAGAGGCAGGAGACGGAAGCAGGGGCAGAGGCGGGGGCTGCGAGACGGAGGCGGAGACGAAAGCGACGACAAGACTGCAATGAGGTGACGACGGGCGACGATCAAGCGAGACGACAGCGGGTGGAACTCCTCCTCTTCCCCTCTCTTCCCTCTCCCTCTCTTTTTCTCCTAAATTTTAGACTATTCGGGGTGAGGAGGGAGGGAATTTCGAGAAAAAAATCATTTCTCTTAAAATAAAGTGCAGTGAAAATGACACTCCCTAATAAAGGTCAATAAATGTTTCATCTGCGAAACATAGCATTGTACATAAATTAATATTTTAATGAAGCATTAAAGTCCGAAGTCTCCTTTGCTAATACTATCTTTTACTCTAAAAATTAAAAAATTATTAAAAAATTAAAAAATTAATAACTTGTATTAAAAATTCAAATATTTTATTTCCTCTCTACTTTTTATATATCTTTTTATAAAAAATTTAAAAGTCATTTCAAATAAATTAATTTTTTTACATCATATTTTAGCCAAAAAAACTAAAAAGTTACTAAAAAAATCTGTTTCCAAACGAGGCTTTATTTGGATCAAACTATGTTAGTGTACTTTTTTACATAAGTATACTTATTTAAGTCACATCAATTAATATCTTCTCTTTATTTTTTTTACATATCTTTATATAAAAAATTAAAAAATACACTTATTAAAATATCCAAACAAGCCCTAAAAATCCAAGCCTCTTTTCAAAAGCACACGTGAAGCTACAAACAAACCACACCCCAAATGTCAGAAGACCAAAGCAAAGCAGAGCACAAGCACAAGCACAAACACAAACACAAACTCCGCAAGGGAATTTTACTTTAAAAATCTTCCCCCACCCCCAAACAAACCCTATCAATCTGTTTCCCCCATCTCCGACACCACTCTCTCCCTCTCTCTCTCTCTCCTCACATCTCCGGCATGTCAACCAACCCATCGGAGAGCTACACCGACGACTTCCTCGAGCAAATCCTCGCCATCCCTTCTTACGCCGCCGGCTTCCATCAGCCGTTTATTCCGTTGGGTTTGAGCTTAGACAACGGCCGAGACAGCGTTAATGGTGGTGGAGCTTTTTCAGGGAAGAGTGTAAGTGTCTAATTTTACCCTTTTGCCCTTGGGGGAGGGTGTGTTGTACAAATTTGGAATTGGGTTGAGGGCTATTTGAGTCTTTTTGGTGTTGGGTTTGTTGTTGTTGGTTTTTTGGCAGGAGAGAGAGTCTGTGAATATGGGGAGTCTGTTTCCTGTGTTTGAACATTTGCAGCCTCACTCCGTTCGCCACTCAGCTCCTCAGGTTCATATATAATCACTAATCTTTTTACTGCTTTGTTTCATTATACACATCTTTATGTATTATAGATTATGGTTATGTCAATTGACTATGCATATATGTGTCCCTGATTGACTTGTTCTTGAAATTTGAGCTTTTTCTATGGGGGTGTTTGGCGTACATTAAACAAGTTGATTATAGTTTATTTTAATTTTTTGCTTATAACTTATTAAGAAGAAATAGATTCAGTAAGTTTAGAGGTGTTTTTGAATGCTACTTTCTTTAACTTATAATGTCACACGCATGGGGGTGACTAACACAACGAATTTACTGATTTTCTATGCTGTTACACATATGACTCAGATAAGGTCGCCGAGATTGGATGTATCTAAGTGTTTGATTCATTTAATTTAAATATTCAATTCTGTTAATTCTCGTGTCCAAAGACCGTTGTGACACGGAATTAAATTTATATTTCCTAGTATACTTATTTTATATGGTAAATTGATGTTCACAAGGTTTCATAGAACATTGCATGCATAATAAGGGTATTTTTGGCCTATTTTTATGGTGTTCTCGAATTATTAAATATTTTTTTTGTTAGAAGAATATCAAATTACACATGCCAAACACATATCCCATATCCTTATTCCCTTTCTTTCCTTTGGTGTGGCAAGGGGGTGTAGTTATGATTATCCATTTTCTACTCTCTAAAGCTGGAGTAAGACGCTTCGTTTTCCACCCATTGGCATTGCCGCCTGTGGGTTTGATAAGACCACCCTTCCACCTCAGTCTCGAACCCAACTCATGGAACTCACACTTTACTAGATCTTCAATTTTCTCCTATGCAAGAAGAGGAAAATTCCGAATTTACAACCTCTATAATGGAAAAATAAAAATAAAAAATGTATCGCATAGAACACAACATTGAAACAAAAGCTCAAGTGTTAGGGTATGACATGAGCACTTCATAAATTTAAAATAGTCCATGTAACAAGGCTGATTAGGGACTTTAAAATGAACATAAAAGGTAACTTGTCCCACCAAAGTTGGCTCTGCACAATGTTTTCTGAACTTAGTTAGGAGTGGGATTTACAATCTGAATTCCAATTTCTTGGGTTTGTAATTGCCACTGAATCGTACATTCTTTTGCAGGTTTTTCATGGACAACCGACTCACAGCACAACAATGACTTTGCCACATCCACCTGCCATCCGCCCAAGGGTGCGGGCTAGACGAGGTCAAGCCACAGATCCCCACAGTATCGCTGAGAGGGTAATTTGAGTTACATAAAATACAACAGGCTGTTTAGAAAGCATATTTTATTGGAAAGTGTTGTTTGTGGATAATGTAGTGTCAATAAAATGGACTGCATGTGACACATTAAATAGCTGAAGGGTTTTCACCAAAAATAAATAAATAAATAAATAACTGAAGAAATATGTATCAACCATTTTAACGAGTGTGTGTGTATTATCTGAGTGGAATCTGGTTTCACTAGTATTTTAATTTTAGCTCTATGCTCTGTTTCTGTTTATCGTTTCTTTGCATTGACAGCTCTATTCGTCTTTTACAGCTGCGTAGAGAAAGAATAGCAGAAAGAATGAGGGCTTTGCAGGAACTTGTTCCCAGCTGTAACAAGGTCTGTGCTATTTCAAAATTGCCAAACATGTACTCGTTGTATGATTAGTTTTTCTTCTTGCCTTTCTTCTGTTATTTGAGTCATCGCAATCTGCATCTAGACTTATGCCTATGCTTGACCATGAAAGAGATTATTTTTTCTTCTTTAATCCCACAATATAACAAGACATTGTGGCATAGATTGTTTTCTGGTGAGATCAATTCTCTTGACATTTTGGATTGTGGATTGATAATATCCATTTCCCCGACAACCTAATTGACGAAGCAAGGTATCAATGAAGTACCAAGGCAACCAGAGACGTGCAGATTTTTAAATAATTGTACTAATATAGGTCCTGAAAGCCTCGTGTTACACCACACACAAAAAAAATGGAAAAAAAAAAAACACTCGTGTGTTGGGCATGTCATAGAGTTGTGGACACAAGTGATGGCTGTCTCTGTATATAATTAGAATGTTTGTGGACATGGCCAAGTGTGAGTTTGTCTGTGGCTCTGAGCTACCTACCACTTGCGAGTGACCATTTTGTCGAATATGTCTGTATACTGAAGTTCTAAGGTAATATTTAAGATGTTGCCAAATTAATGACTTGTTTGATGTGGTTAGGAATGAAATATGATAGCTTTTTAGGTGTGCCTAGTCATTGTATAAAGAAGCTATGGCGCAATTAAAGTGATATGAATGGACTTCACACTGATTTCTGGTATTAATGCATTAAACTTTTCTGCAATTTCTGGTATTGATGCATTAAACGTTTCTGCAGACGGATAGGGCTGCCATGCTTGATGAAATTCTAGATTATGTGAAGTTCTTAAGGCTTCAAGTCAAGGTAAGTTTTCTATAATGGTTCAAAGTAGGAGTCATGTAGCCAAAGTCATCATTATCTTTGCCAAATTAACCTACTCGTATTCTTGCGGATGTCCCTTAGTTGTTTATATGCATTTTGCCTCCTTGTTTATTTAATTATCAAACTATTAAACAAACATTGTCTTGACTCCTGTAATGAATATATTTTAATTTTTTCATCTCGATCTCTCTCTACTGTGTTTGTTAAAGATTTCATGAAATTGTAGTTGTCACTTGTCACAAACTTCAACTGATCTTGTATGAAATCAAAACTACTAAATATCGCGAGGGTTGAACACTTGTTTAATTGTGCATCATGTGTGACCCGTTTAATCGTGCATCATATATGACTATTCTGATGGACCTTTGGACGGTTTAAATTGAAAAAATAAGATGATAGTCTTCACACTTCTGAGCTACCTCTAGTTCATTAGCTATATTTGTTTACCCATCTACCTAATCTTATACTTGTCAGGTTCTAAGCATGAGTAGGCTGGGTGGAGCCGGTGCTGTGGCCCAACTTGTGGCTGACATCCCACTGTCATCCATCGAGGTAACATAAAGAACAATAACCCTTGTACCTTTGTCAATATACTTTTGAAAACTTTTTTATATCAAGATTTGAAGATATCCCTTTGTAATTAACCATTCCCGTACTTCTCCAATGCAAAGGGGGACAACAGTGAAGGTGGATGCAACCAGCAAGCCTGGGATAAGTGGTCAGATCATGACATAGAGCAAGAAGTAGCTAAGCTCATGGAAGAAGATGTTGGTGCTGCGATGCAATACCTTCGATCTAAAGCACTTTGCATCATGCCCGTTTCACTTGCTGCACTAATCTATCCTACCCACCCGCCAGACGCCTCTGGATCTGTTAAGCCCGAACCAAATGGCCCTTCCTAGACCTCTAACCAATTGCACGTGCCTACAAGAACTCCCTATGGTCACCAAGTCCCACACTTATCCATATCCCTACCTATCATCATCACTCTTCATATAACCTTTCCTTGGCATTATGTGACAATGCGATCAGTGTCGGATGCCATAATTTTGCTTTGCCCTCCCTTTTTTCGTCCTTGAAGTTTTGTCGACAGAAAATGAAGGCACTTTTGTCGGTTATCGCCACGGTCAAGGGAAGGGAGAGATTTTCAAAGTTATCTTCATATGCTGTACTACCCCTTTTTGTTGTGGTGTTGTGGAAACACTCTTTTGCTTGGTGGATGGTGGGGCATTGGAATGGTACGGGTAAATATATATAATGCGTTTTAAGAAAACAAATTGGAAAATGATTTGGCAAGTCATTTTCAGGAATGACTTTTTGTTTTTTTTTTTTTAACCTTTTGGTGAGTGGGATGATTACTAAAAGAAACTTAAGCTTTTGTCACTCTGCACAATGATCAAATGATGAATTGTTTAAGAGTGTGGAGATCATCATGCCCCATAAAACTTTATGACATTTCTGAAGTGTGGATTGTGGATATAGTTAATCTCTCTTTTATCACACACAGTATTGAGTGCAATGGTGACAACTCTAAATGAGATGGTGATAGGATGGATAGACAACAGATGGAGTGGTCTTAACCCCCTGCCCCCATTTGGAGCTCTTAATTTAATTTTTAAAAAGATAAATCAATTACGCACAAATAACACGATTTATGTGATGTATTCAAAATTAGGGTTACGTTTGCGATTGTTGCGAGTTTATTATGATAAAAAAGGTTATAAGAGATTTGAGAGATAATAAAACAATGTGTTATTTGGCCACAAATATAAAAAATAAATAAAATAAAAAATGAAAGTCCCTATTTCAAAGTTGGATTCTTGGTTGAATGTTAGGGTTTTGTTTATCAAAATTCACATCATGCCATGGTGTTGGCATCCCACTAATGAAATGAGAGATTAGTTTGAAGTGGTAGCATCCCATTTTTTCAATTCATGCTGCATCTAGATATTAAGCACATCTTTTCATACTTTTCAGAAAAATATATATCTTTCATTTATTTAAATTGAAATTTGTTTTTAGTTTATTTAATTCATTTGTCTCACTCTCACATAATAAAAAAGAAAAGAAATAGAAAGTCATATTGGAATAAAATAGAATAGAATTGAATGATTATATTCAATTTATTATAGTGAATCACTTTGTGTTGGAGTCTTGTAAGGCGAAGGAAAAAATTTCATCTTATTATTAACTTAGGGGTCTTTTGGAAAGTTGCCAAAAAAACTAGTTTTTTTGGCATTTTAGCTTTTTTAGTTAAAAAAGTCAGTTTTTTTTTTTATCTAAAACAATCTAGTTTTTTGTTAAAAAAGTCATTAAAAAAGTCAAAAACTCAAAAAGTTAACTTTTTACCAACTTTCTAAAACACCACTTATTGTAGTGTTTGATTTCACCATAATAAAATAGAATCATCATTCATTAATTCATTTTTTTTATTTATAATGGTGAATAATAATTTATTTATAGTACAATTTTATACTTTTTTTATTGAACAAAACATGAAAATAGGCATATATTAGAATTAGCGGTTGTCACACACGATTCATGCACAATTAAAATAAGTAAAAATAAAATAAAATATTTATTATATATAGTGTGCTAGTCAAGTGGTAACAATCTTTTTCATTTGAGATAAGTCTAAGGTTCAAATCTCCTCCTCTCATTTATCTTTTTTTTTTTTTTAAATGAAAAAGTGAACACATGGTAGCATAAGAAACTAAAGTTTCAAAACACCATAAAAGATGTTCATTCTATATATAGTATAGATAATCATTTCATTTCAAATAACTAAATAATAGGGTAGTTTTTTAAAATGAAAAAGTGAACACATGGTAACATAAGAAACTAAGGTTTCAAAACACCATAAAAATCAAAAAGATGTTCATTCTATATATAGTATAGACGATCATTTCATTTCAAATAACTAAATAATAGGGTACTTTTTTAAAATGAAAAAGTGAACACATGGTAACATAAGAAACTAAGGCTCTGTTTGGAAGAATTTTCAAATCCTGATTCTACCCCCACATTGAAATATCATGTTTGGATAGAGTTTTGGAACTAGTTTTCCACAACAAACACAAAACTCTACAGAAAACTCTTTGTAAAGCACGATTTTTGAATTTTTTTTTTTTGAAACTTGGCCTAACCGGTCGTCCCACCGGATGTCCGCCACCAGTCGTCCGACCGATTGACTGAAACAGTGCAATTTTTTTATTTTTGCAATTGATATGTTAATTTTTATATATTCAAAAAAAATATTTTTCGAATTTAAAAAAAAAAAATTATGTGCTTTAATAGAACTTTGAGTTGTATGTTTGGTTATGAGTTGTAAGTTTTTGTATCGAATATCAAATGTCACATCAAAAATTCCTCACTCAATTCTAAACTCTTTTCAAAACTCTTTCATCAAACAAATTTTTCACACTCAAATCATAATTCCAAAACTCACAAACTCAAAATTCAACTCATACTCTCAAATCATAGTTAGAAAGCTCTACCAAACGCAACCTAAGATTTCAAAACACCATAAAAGTCAAAAGATGTTCATTCTATATGTAGTATAGATGATCATTTCATTTCAAATAACTAAATAATAGGGTACTTTTTTAAAATGAAAAAGTGAACACATGGTAACATAAGAAACTAAGGTTTCAAAACACCATAAAAATCAAAAAGATGTTCATTCTATATATAGTATAGATGATCATTTCATTTCAAATAACTAAATAATAGGGTACTTTTTTAAAATGAAAAAGTGAACACATGGTAACATAAGAAACTAAGATTTCAAAACACCATAAAAGTCAAAAGATGTTCATTCTATATGTAGTATAGATGATCATTTCATTTCAAATAACTAAATAATAGGTTACTTACATGTAGGTCTTAATAAGTGGACTTATTGTCTAATAGGTCTATAGGAAAAAAAAATCAAAAAAAAATCAGTAATTGTAAGTTTTAGCGACAATTTATAAAAATCATGATAAAAAAAGTCACTAATTGTCAATTTTTAGCAACATATATAAAAAATTGTTACAAAAAAATTATTTTTAGCGATAATTTTATCAAAATTTATTTTCAATAGAACTTGAAAAAATTAAGTTCAACTATTACAACATATTAATGATTTTACCCCAAATAATAATAACACATATTTTTCGTCATTCTAGTCAACTAAAATATAAATATAAATATAAAATATATTTTATCCGATTATTTTTTATTTTTTATTTTTGAAACAAATGAAGGAGTAGGAGTTTCGCTTTTCTTCAATAAAAAAAGTTAAATAAAAGCCATTCAACTTTTTATTAAAAAAATGTGAAGTGGGTGGTTGGAAAAGCACGCGACGGTCCACAATATAAGCCACGTGATACATCAAAATGTAAAATTCAACTGCCTTCTCATGACAAAGAGAAAAATATTCCATATATTTTGTTGAAGTGTAATGGTATATTTATTTAAAATCATCTTAATAATTTTATTAAAAATATATATTTTTAAATATTATTGATGTTTAAATGATATATTTTTTATATCCAATTACATTTGTTTTATTATATTTTTAGTAAGATTGTTAGTATGAATAATTTAAAATTATTCTTGGTTAGTTAAATGCCTCACCTAATTATTTATGGGCCCCATCTAAAATTAAGAATGGTCTCACTTGAGAAGTTGACTATTTTAGTAGGTTGTTTTAATTTTTAGCTATTTTAGTAAGTTAAAATATTTATATTTGAGAAGCAGGTTGATTTATTTTTATTTATTTTTAATTGAATGTGATGTTTATAAGAGAAAAATTAATTTAATTATGAATTTGATGTGACATTTTATTTTATTAATTATTTTAACATATTTTGTCTTTTTGTGAATTTTAACTATAAAAAAAAAAAAGCCTAAAATTGACTTCTCAATGGTGGTTTCAATTTACACACTATAATTTATCTCGTTACACATCATTTACTTAATTTATATGATATTTAATTTGAATTTTTTAATTTTTTTCTTAAGTCACCCTATTAATTTTTAAATAATATCACCATACGCTTATTTTCTCAAATTTCAAACCCTAGCCAAAGCATCAAATCACTACCACTATAGTTGCCATCAATTATCAACGTTATGTCCTTTGAAGGTCCTCTTCGTCACTCCCTTCCCAACTTCATTACATTTTTCAGCCCCGCCACTCCCTCTTATTGCTACTACCTACCATCCGTCTTAGGTGGGGTTTGATTCGAGGATTGAGGTGTGAGATTAGACTATTAGTTTATTTAGATTGATAGTCTGTTGTTTGGTTCAAAATTTTTGTACCGGATTATTAATTCCGAATTCATTAGACTATTGTGTCTCATGAGAGATGGGACACAAATGTAGGGATTAAAGGGATATGAAATTAGGAGGAGGAGGTCGCAAGCTCTCCAAGTTGGATGGGTGGGATTGTTGGATGGGATGACTCGGGGTTTGTTCTCAGTTGGGTGGGATATCTTGAGGTGGTGGAGGAGGTATGGGAAGGTCTCTTTGAAGCAAAGCATTGATCAGGGCTTAGTTTTGCTCGGCTAAGCAGTTGATGCTGTTGGTGAGTTCTGTGAAATACTGCGGTGGGTTGTTTGGGTTAGGAGGATCGGCTTGAGGGTCGGCAATGTTGTGTTGAGAAGCCATGGATCTAGTTGTGACCATCCACCTTGGTGGGTGGTAGGTAGGGAATATCAGTAATGGGTCTCCGGCAACAATGAGCACAGTTACCGCACAGAGCAAAAAGACTTCCCACAGACGGCGCCAACAGATGATGATACTGATTGCTCCAGATAGAACGGGTCGGATCGATCCACGCTTCCCAAACCGCTGCCCGAGTGTTGAGCCCGCAAAAAGACCTGCACAAGAGTTCAACGGGGAACTGAGAGTTCCCCAACGAACCCTCCGACGATCAAGTTAGTGAGGTGAGAGTGATGAAGGTGTCGAGAGAGGATGGAGATAGAGAACTTAACATTTTCTTTATCTTAGAAGCCTGTTTATATCATTTGCTCATCATTTTCTTGTCCACTCCAAGCCGTCATGTTGGCCAAAAGTCCATGTTCTAGCTTGCCTTGTTCATGGTGAGGCTGTTCTGTTTCGACTTGAAGGGTTATCGCAATAAATGCTGCAGGGAAACTCATTAATGGTTGATATGTGGTGCAATAACTTTGCAGGATCTTTGTCTGCTAATGTGGCTGGTTCTTCACTTGCCAAGTGTTTTGATGTCATTGGTGCTTCGTGTAACGTTGGGTTCCTAGAATGTTGAGCTTTAGTGTTATGAATCATGGATTAGGCCTTAAGTGGTGGGCCATATCCTTTATGGGCTCACCCATGTCAGTAGTCCCCCATTCCCAAGAGCAACTTCAGTCTAACGAAGGGAATAAGGAAGAAAATAGGGGTGGTGAGAGATCGACGGAGAGAAGAACAAATGGGAGGTGGATCGACTGTGAGAAGTGACCGAGTGGAGGGAT